GAAAGAATCATGTATAGCCTTATCTACAATGGAGGCTGAGTTTGTAGCATTTTCAGCTGCAGTGCAAGAAGCCGGTTTGGTTGAGACGGTTCATGAATCATCTGGGAATAATTAATGTTGCTATTGAACCAGTAAGAATAAACTGTGTTAGTCAAGCAGCAATAGCATACACTAAGGATCCCAAATATCATGGTAAAACGAAACACATAGATATCAAATATAATTTTGTGCGAGACTTGATGGCTCAAAAGGAGGTGAACATGAATTACATATCTACGCATGACATGGTTGCGGATCCATTCACAAAGCCTATACCAAGAGATACTTTCAATATACATGTTAGATCTCTAGGCTTACGTAGGTGTTGAATGTACTCATACTTTGAGATTTTCCAAAATTGTTCACATTTGTCTTATCAATATTAAATAACAATATTGTCAATGCTCAATTTAGATTATTATGGAACATACATGAAGAAGTATATATATATATATATACAATCACCTCCATTATTTCGTAGGAATGGAGATGAGACGATTTTAAGCTTATTATCTAGGTGATAATACAGAGCCAAGCTTAAAATGTTTAACGTCGCCTAAAAATAGAATTAAAATAATGTCATAATGAAATGTGACCATAAGTGATAAATAATCACTTTATCTGTCTAATTGCTAGATTAGAGTTTTGATGAATTAAAAGTATGTAAAGTGAACTCAAGTTAGACATTAGGTATGTCTGAACTAAAATCTGTACAGCATTTACAAGAAAAGAGACATGCACTCCATGGGAAAAAAAGAAATGTTGTAGCATGTGATTCATACCACATGTGCAAAACATTGATCAAATGGGTAATGAAAGTCAAAATCTCAACTTTAACATTGTGTGAGACCCTGAGTTTTTAAGAATAAAATCTCATAGAATAACCTTATTACTCTATTCTGTTTCTTGAAAACCTCATTTAATGATTGCTATCTTAGAGTGTTACGAAAGGATTAAGATAAATTCAATCTGCTGGGACATTTCTAGAAAAGCAAGTTAAATGAAAGTTGCAAGAATCGAGAAAAGAGAAAGATTGCGATTTTGAATTATCACACTATAATCACGTGTATTCATTGGTCGACCAATTATGTTTATTTTTATGTAAAGACAGAACATAATTATGAATACAACGAATATTTATTATAAATGAGATTGTTAGAAAAATGTGATAAGTAATCTAGGGTATTGCATACATCATACAACCTGAGTTTCACAATTCGAGAAGTTATATATTCCTAACAGATATATGACTAACGTGCTCTCGAAGTATGCATGGTCACACGACATATTTACTAAAGTATGAACCTTAAAGAAGCACAAAGAAAGAAAGTCCAATCATGTGTGAGTGAGAGATATTGGATAAGTACACCCACGATGAAGGGGCGTGAGAAGTGGAAACTGCCAAAGGCAGTTTCTCACGAACCGCTGCCATATAAAAAGAAAAGTTCTTTCTTTTAGCCATTAACGCACTCACCAATACGCAAAGAAAAAATACGTTCTCTCTCTCTAAAATTGGAAAAGAAAAATATTCTTCATGGTTTTCTTTCAGATTCAATTTTTGGCTTCAGAGATAAGGAGAAGAGGTATTTATGCTGTGTAAATTCATTGTAGTTCATTTATATACAAAATGTGATTGCAATGGGTGACTATGATCTTGGGATTAGTTTTAGGATATATGTTATTCTATGAATTTCCAACAGTAACAGTAAGTTTTATGTCATGGCTTAAAGAAAATGAGCAATTACATGAAAGAAATGAGTAAGAGGACATCGATAAAAAAGTCGTCTCTCTCTCTCTCGTGTATATTTTATCTCTCTTTCGGTGAGAGTTTAACTCTTTTTCTTATGACACGTCCAAATTAGAACTTATATGAAGGTATTTATCTGAGTTTATAAGCTGATCAAACTAGTTTATAAGCTCTAAAATTAAGTTGACATGTTTGTTTATAGTCTTTTTGGGTTTATAAGCTGAACTTATAAGCAAAAAAAAATAATAATAATAATGTTAGTGGGAGGTTTTTTTTTTCTGCAGCTTATAAGCACTCTGTTTATAAGTTAGCACTCTGTTTATAAGTTAGTTTGACTAAGTATATTACCATATTATCCTTATTTAATTTTAAAATTTCATTGTATAATTTATTAATTGATAAAATAATATAATATATTTTTTAGTTATTTTAGTAATAAAATATATTTATAAGCCACATTTTACCAAACGCATCAATGATTTATCAATCACTTATAAGTACTTTAACCAAACACGTAATTGTTTAAAATTTCAAATGCTTATAAGCCCAAATTAACTTATAAACACTAACTATTTATAAGCTAATTTTCATAAACTCAGCCAAATAGGCTCTATGTCTCACCTCCGACACATTTCTTCATACAATTGCTCATCCTTCTCAACCATTGTCAAAAACCCAATTCACCAATAATTTGAATCACATAATCAACTAATTAACATGGCGTTATTAACCCAAGCGAATTAATTTTTTATTTTATTATTATCAACATGTATATATATATTTCTAAAATTCAGATCCTTTACATAATTTTGATGGTCAATTCTAAGCTAATTTACTTAAAGATTAGAGAAAGTTTTAGTATTAGTTGATCACTAAATCTAAGCCAATTATTGAATGCCATGAACAGATTAAGTATGCAAAACAGTTAAGATATAAACATATATATAATTTTTCTTTTATGTACAAAATTAAATGATAAAAAGTAACATGTTTATATATATTCCTAAAATTCATCAAATCAAAAGAGAGATACCTGGATTTTCTGCAGGTTTCTTGACAGAAACAAAAGAAATAAAAAGATAGAACAAAAACGAAGACTTAAAAGATTATGTCAATTAAACTCTTTGTTTAATCTCTACACGTAATAGCGGTCAAAGAAATTCTCTCTTTCACAAAAAAGAATCGAAACTGCAATGTCCATCGGATCTTTTCCTATTTCTTCTTCTTCTTCTTCTTCCTCTTGGATTAAGCCATGAACAAAAAGATACAAAACCAATATTCCATATATAGAAACGTTTACTATTCATCTCCGACTCTACATGTAACAGAGGCAAAAGAAACTGCAACAATCTCTTCATCTTTCTTGGATTAAGGCATGAACAAAAGCATATGAAACCAATCTGTATACAAATTTCCTTCTGAGACATAACGTACTGAAAATACTATAGAAATTCGCTACCATACTTTTACCAACCTGAAATCTTGCACTGACCTTTCTTTTTTCTTGCTTTCGATTCTCGTGTTGAACCAATGTATATTTATAATACTTCTGAGGTTTCCGTAATCAAGTGGGATAATTAGTCTCCTTAACTTATGTAGGACTCCATTTCCTTAATCAAGAAGGCTTATAAGATTTCCTTACTTTAAGTAGCAGTACTATTCTTCGGAAAATGACATGTCGTCTGCTAGTTGGAGAATATATGACATGTCATATTATTGGCTTAGACAAAGAGCAAACTACATGTTCCCACCCATGGTTAAGTGAAATCCCAACTTCATACCCTATTGCATTTATTTCAGATTCTCCCCTTAAACTAACACTACTAAAAAGTTTGACTTCTAACTTGTGCTATTACCATATTACCCTTAACTTTTGATTTCACCCCACCCAGCCACCATTACCATCCAACCACCACCATCACCCAACAGTCGACATTTTTTAGCCTTGTTCCAGTTGATTTTTCACACAAAATCACCTCTAATCTCTTCCTTGTAACCCCAACTCCCAAACCCACCAAACCCATTCACCATTGCACCATTCGATCACCAGAAAATGGCCTCCTTGGCCTTCGAGTTTTCTCCCAACTTTGCAGCCAGATTCAGGTTGATTCACTCATTGAAAATGCACCCCAAAGCCACCAATCGAAACCTCTTCATCGCCTCCATAAAAGCCACCCTCTCTTCGGTCGTCGTCACTCGTCGTTTGCTACCAAGTTCCATTCCCACCGCCATGCCACAACTTTTTTTGCACATCTTTCCCACCCTTTTTGACCCCTATCCTCCTCTTTGTTGCTCTGTTGTGGTTGTTGTGCATTCATTGGCCATCGGTTATCTTCCACCAACCCAAAATCTCCATTCAAAGTCATGCCCACCAACTGTTTGAGGAAATTGCTCAACCAGCTTCCCAGTCAAGCCTAGGCCCTTTTTGGGCAAATGAAGGGTGCAACAGTGAAGGGATGGTTGGCAAGGAGAGGATGACAGGTGGGCAAGATGGTGGTGTTGGTAAGTGGGGTTGGCGCGTCTGTTTAAAGCCGCAAAGTCGCACGAGTGAGTGTTGTTGCGACTGGCAACTATTGGGGGTTTAAGGCGATAAAGGGATGGGTGGGGATGGAAGAGGAAGTGCCGATGTGTGGGAAAATGGGGTTGGAAGCTATTTTCGTCGCCATTTTCCCACTCACCAGCCTTCCTCTTCCTCAAGAAACGGTGCAGTTGGGTGGCGAGGTTGGCGACTGGGGTTGTTGGTGGAGGGGATGTCTGGCCAATGGTGGTAAAGGTGTTGACGATGCAGCCATAACTCCACCACCTGCCGTCGCCCAAAACGAGAGGAACAAAGAGGGAGAGAGGGTGCCACGGTGAAGGAAATAAAAAGACCATTTTAGCCTTTAAGGGTTAAAAAAAGAAAACGACATCCATTTAAGGGTGAAAATCTGGAATTTATAAAACCAAAGGTACCAACTGAGGATTTTGCAAAACCTTGGGTGGCAATATGTCCTTTACTCCTTAGACAAGATATGCTTTTGTTTTGGTCACGTGCAGTTGCAGATCAATGAGTCAATTCTCAATCGGGCACCACCACTCATATGTCCAGAATCGTAACATCAAATGTCCCAAAAAAAACACATGGCAAAAGCCACTTTCACTTGCTTTGATTCAACAACTTTATTCCCCATTAAAGGTTTTTTGTTTTGCTAAATAGTTAATAGCCACCAGCTTGTCAAAAACCCTCAACTCAATCACTTCTAGCTGTTCACGCCACAACATGGCCTCTCACCACCACAACCACCACCAAATGACCACCACATCAAGCTGCTGCTGCTGCAGCAACACTTGTAGCCACCACCCTGCTCCACCACCTCCTCCTTCCACTGACCCACTTCTCCAAACCATTCTCTCTCACCTTCTCCAACAACAACAACAGCAACAACAATCACCTCAACAACCTCATTATCAGTATCTTAGTCATAACCAAACTCACAAAAACCATCACTTTCACCATCAAAATCAAAGCTTTCAACATCAAAATTGCAACTTTCAGCATCAAGAAGATTGCCCACAAGCCAAATTGGTTCTCTCTTCTCTTATTAGCCGTATTGATGCTCTTGAAACTTCCCTGCAAAACTTCTCTTTATCTTCTGCTGCATACAATCAGTACTCTTCTTCTTCTTCATGCTCTCTTAGAGACGTGGCGGCGCGTGTGATTCAAACCCATTTCCGAGCCTTTCTTGTGCGTAGATCCAGAACCCTTAGACAGCTCAAAGAGCTTGCTTTAATCAAATCTAGCTTCAACTCTCTCAAGTTATCAGTTTCCAAGAAAACCCATTTGGATTTTCACCTTGTTTCTCGTAAAGCTATGGACTTGCTTCTCAAACTCGACTCTATTCAGGTATGCCATTCATGGGGAGTCCTCAATTTCTTAACTTTACTATTTTTCCATTTTAGGGTTTTGATGGGTGGGTTTGTTTGCAGGGTGATGACCCCATGATCAGAGATGGGAAGAGGTCAATTAGCATGGATTTGGTTAAGTTTTTGGAATTTGTTGATGGGTTTGCAGTGAGAAGGAATGAGATCTCATGTAAAGGTTCAAAGAATGTGAGATTAATAAGGCATGATGGTAACAAGTCTAGGTTTTTGAGGTCTAATAGTGGAGATTCTAGTAAGGATCAGATTGACTTAATGAAAAAATTGAGGGAGCGAGTGGACAGGATTCATGGGTATTCTAGGGTTTCTAAAACTGAGGATGAAGTTGTGGAGCTTGAAGGTTTTCACCAATTCATTGATGATGAGGAGCTAGAAAACCCTAGGGTTTACAGAAACAAAAATGGGGTTTTGGTAAAAGAGCATATTGTGGCTCAGCCAAAAGTGAAGAAAAGTGTGAGCTTTGCTGAGAATGGGAATGTGTATAGGATTTTTAGCAATGACAATTCTCATGAACCAAATTCAAGTGGGGATGGTACATTAACTGATGAGAGTGTTTCAAGTGATGATAATGGAATAATTTTGGAGAATATTTGCACTGAAGTTGAAGGAAGTAAAGGTTTATCTGAAGTGACTGAGGATGGTGAGGAAGTGTACTTGGAAAATGGAGGATCAGTGCAGAGCAGTGATGAGGAAAGAAACCCTAGAATGAGTTTGAGAAGTGAAGATTCAGATGAGATTATTGGTGATTATATAGGTCAAGATGGACACTTTGTGTTCTCTGCACCATTGCCTTTGAAGATGGAATCTAGAATTGATTTGATGAAGAAGAGAAAGGCTGTGAAAATTGTCGCATAATAGGTTCAATTTTGAGGCAGTTGAGTGGATGTTTGGTTCCATTTCCACATTATGATTCCGATTGTTAGTTTAGAATGGTGAGAAGTCTAGATTGAAAGAGGTGTAATGGGGCTTTATTTCTCGTGGGATATGTTTGTAGCCTTCAATTCCTGCAATTGTAATTGTATTTTTTTTTTTACTAAATAATAATTCTTGGTTTTTTTTTTTTTTTGGCGTTTATCAATTTGATGTCTCCATCCTTATATTTATTGCTGTGAATAGTGTTTCCTTGCACAAATCTGGATATGTGGATGAATCAGAGATCAGTTCTATCATGTCCATAGAATTAGCATAACTGAAAGAAAGAATTATATAATGGTGCAGGAAAATGTCCCTCTCCGTTTCGTGCATTCTTTTAACCCAGCAGATGCCAGATTCTGAGCTATTTAAGGATTAAAACTACGTTTCAAAGAAGAGTTCATGACCAAATAGGGCCATAGTATGTTCACTGCTGTAAAAATGTTCCTTCAGTTAAACAATTCTACAATCATTTAATTATATGATAAGAATTGGCAAAAACTAAACAGATACTTTCACAGAAAAACTACATAAGGAATTGAAGATAGAACTCTTTGATGCATTCTGCATCAGGATCAATTGCCCAAAATCCCGAACTACAGCAAAGAATATAGTCAACTTAGTATTAATTTCTATTAAAGAACATTATATCACACCTTCATGAAAGGAACCTCACATGTTCAACAATATATTGAACAAAACCTTCAATTGGAAGGGATGTCATCCCTGATCCCAGATGGAGCAATCTTTGGAAAACTTTTGAGTTTTCTTGTCCTACGAAAGAATACTCACTGAAGATCAACATAAGCTCATCCACAGATGAATAAACTATGTTCATATACTACGGAGTTTTCTGGAATGAATCTGTCCGCAGGGGCACTTACAATGAGCACATAACTTAACTTGAAGACTGCTCCAATGCATATTCAGAGATAATACTTTCTGTACAGGATTCTCCTACTTTAGCTTTTGGGTGATCAGCAGGAGTCAGCAGCACCGATGAACTATCTACCTGACTAACAATTTCCTGATTGCTAGTGCTGGTCATGGTTTCAAGTTTTGGGGCATTCATAGCATTTTTCTTTACTTCAACAATTTTAATCCTAGCTTCTCTTAAAGCATCTAAAGCAACCTTAAAACTATGGTCAGACACCATCCCTTCCTCAGCACATTTAACGGCTTCCTGATGTAAAATATCATAATATGAGTTCTTGCCTTTCTGTGAGTTACTTTGCAGTGCAACAGAGGGCAGCACATCCAATACAGCCTCATCCTTAGCACTTTTTGTCCATCGCTTCAAGATGTAATGTTGTGGAAGCATAAAGATGTTTGTTGCTTTGAATACTGCAATCACATGTCTGCAGAGGATGCCTTCAAACTCAAACATCTTGCAACTACAACTAGCTATTTGTTCAGATACATTCAAAGTCACAAAGTATGCTTTCTCCTCTTCATCAAATCTTGCTATCTCATATGTGCTGGTTTCTCCATTGCTCTCACTGAGTTTCACAGCAAGCACAAGAGATTCAAAAATTTCATCCTGAAATATTGAGAACAATTTTCTTGTGTAAACTTCCGCTACTTGTTTTTCCATAGGAAGTGGAGTCTTTAATATTGGTTTTGTGTAAAAAGTTTCAAACTCTGCCCTCGCTTCTTTCTCATAGCGATCATCCAAAGCCTTCTCATATTGCTCCGCAAAATCTTGTAAGGTAGTCCTTGCATTCACATAGCCTTCAAAAAGTGAGTTCACACTTCCACTTTGCTGAGTAGCATGCATACCAGCAAAGAATGTGTCTCTTAAATAGGTTGAGACCCACAACTTGCGATCAATATAAAGTGATTGAAGCCATTCATTTCCTTGTAGGTTATACTTATCAAGAAGCAACTGCCAAGCAGATTCAAATTCTTCAGGCGTCTCAGTCTTGTTAACATATTTCTCAAATTCCAATTGGAATGTCTTTGGAAGGGCACTGTACACCTGCCCCATCTCCTTTGGCATTTTTCTCATGATGTGCCACTTGCAATATCGATGTTTAGACTGTGGAAAAACCCTTTGTACTGCTCTAGTGATTGCAGAGTCATAGTCCGTTATGATTAACCCTGGTTGCCGTCCAGACACTGCCTCAAGCCAGCTTGCAAAAAGCCAAATGAAAGTAGATTCGGTCTCATCAGCAAGCAGTGCACACCCTAACAACACTGACTGTTTATGATGATTTACTCCAGTAAAAGGCGCAAATGGCATTTTATACTGATTCACTTGATAAGTAGTATCAAAGGCTACAACATCAGAGAAACAATTATATGCGATTCTTGATCTAGTGTCAACCCAAAAAACACTACTCAGCCGATCTTCTTCATCGACTTGTATTGCATAATAAAACGCAGGATCATTGGCTTGCATTAACTTAAAAAACCCAAGAAGACTTTGGGCATCTATTCCAAAAGTGCTTAGGCGTCCTCTTCCAATGTAATTAACACTAGTTTGGGCAGCAAATCCCATTTTTCCAAAACCGTTACAATCTTCAGTCAAGACATTCAAAGAAGCAGTCAAACCCAATCCCGAGGAACTAAAAGAGCTACTTGGACTATTATTTTGATTATGCTCCTGCTTATGTGACCGAAGAAAATGCCTCATTGCAGGTGTCACCAGCTCATGATTATGGTTCTTCTCTAACTTTGCCACATACCACTTCCCATCATCCCGCCTCCTCACAGTCATAAGTGCTTCGCAACCCTCTCTCATAATAGGCCTAGCACGCCTCTTCTTCATACCATCTTCAGAAACTGAAGTTCTCAGACGTTTCACCCTTCGAAACCCTTCCTTTGAACAACAAAACTCTCTAGAAATAATCAAATTATCTTTCTTAGAACGATAATAAGAATTCACACGAATACTAAAACCCATTTGCTTGGCATAAGCATTATAGTAATTCCTTGCATCTTCCTCAGAACTAAACTCCATCCCTAATGTAGGCTCTAAAATCCCACCAGCTAAGTACCTAGAGTACTCAAGACTCCCATAATCCTCAACCCCCTCTGAGTGATCATCCACAACCACAGAAGCCTCAACAACCTCCAGACCACAACATTCATTACCATCATCTTCCAAGGGCACATAGGAATCAACTAATTCTATGGCTTCACTGGAAGCCTCTTTTTCCATGTCAGTTTATTGATCCTGCCACATCCAAAATCAAACGATACATAATGACTAATTGCAACAACTAAGGCTAATCCTTCTTTAAAATCTTCTAAAACATAATTAGCTAATCAAACAAAAACACAACTTAAAGTTAAGTTTTTTTACAACAAACCACACATAGGCACATAGCTCAAAGTGCTTCTTCAAATCTACAAACAAATTTAACAAAACTAAGAACAAATAATTGAACCCAGAACATGAAATGAAACACACTTCACAAGTAACATTGCGGGTCAAAAACACTTTTTGAAAACAAAAACAGCAAAAAAAGACAGAGAAACCATGTACAACATAACTAGAAACACCTTAAGCAAAGCTAATAACAAATACTTGAACCCAGAAAATGAAATGAAACACACTTCATAAGTAGCATTGCCAGTAAAGAACACTTTTTGAAACCAAAAACAACATTAAAAGGCAAACTAAAGACAACCCAGAACTGAAAAAGGACAGAGAAACCAAAGGGTGTTTGTGATTTTGGTTGTGAGTTACCTTTCGTAAGAGAACAAAGTACAAAGAGGCCGCCGCGGACGAGATAGCGTTAGGGGACGAAAACTACCATCTGCTATTATCTTTTGGATAAGGAAAGTTGACAATACAATGCTGACCGTCAGATTAGTGAGTGTTAATAATGTTTAAGAGATCAAACGGCTGATGTTTTGTTTATAGACTGGAATTAAGTTCTATAAGAGACTTGATACCGTAGACCTAGAGAGTTGGTATAGTAATATGAATGGATTTAAAAAAATATATTTAATTATATTTAACCATAATTTGTAAAACCTATAGGGGCTTATATATATTTTACAGGGATCGGACTGATATTATACCTAACTTTTTTTTATTAAGTTTGAAACTGTATTATAGATACCCTTTGCCCTAACTCCGTTATGTTGCTGTTTGTGGTAAATGGGTGAAATGGTAATTTTAGTATTATAAAAAAGTGTTGGGGTAAAATGATAAACTTTTATCTTATAAGAAAGTGTTTTGTGTACTTAACTGCATCGTAATAGCTTTGGAGCAAAGGGGGTATTTGTCATAAAGTTTTTAAACTTTGAGGGGCCACTATAAGGCAAAGGGTGTGATTAATACACTTTTCAAAACTTAAGGGTTCATTAGAAGTTAAAAAATTGTTATTGGAATAATAATTCAGTATCCCACTGGATGTGTAAAATATTATGGAAGTCCCTTGAGATTTCCTAAATCCTGTAGGTTTCAAAAGAAGAAAAAGAAAGTGTTAAACCTCGCAACCTCGAAGTTGTGTTTACAACGGTTGAGAGAAGACTACCAGAGTGAGTTGATGAATGGAGGATCTCTCAAAAAAACCAAGAGCCTCTTTACTAAACTCCTGGAACAATTCACACCCACAAAATGTCTCAAAAAAACCAAACAATTTCATGCCCTCATGGTCACTTCAGGCCTTCAATCCACCAACTTCCAATTCCCCCTCGTCACTGCCAAAGCGCAGTGCGGTCGCACTTCTTACGCACGCAAACTGTTCGAAGAAATGCCCAAGCGAAACTTGTTCTTTTATAACACCTTGATAAAGATGTATTCACGTAATGGTTCGTCGTATGATGCTCTTAACCTCTTTGTTGAAATGCTCAGGTTTGAAGTGTGCCGCCCTGATAATTATACGTACCCTTTTGTTATTAAAGCGTGTAGTGACGTGGGTTTGCGCAAATTGGGCGTTGCATTTCATGGGAGAACGTTGGTTGATGGGATTGATATGGATGGTATTGTGCAGAATTGTTTGATTGCAATGTATATGAGTTTTGGAGAGGTAGAGGTGGCGAGGAAGGTGTTTGATGCAATGAGGGACCGCAACGTGGTGACGTGGAATACTATGATAAGTGGGTACTTTAGGAATGGGTATGCTAGGCAAGCTTTGACGGTTTTTGATTGGATGGTGAAGAGTGGACAGGAGCCTGATTGTGCTAGTGTGGTTTCAGTGTTGCCTGTGTGTGGTTATTTGAAGGAAGTTGATGTGGGGAGAAGGGTTCATGCCTTGATGGAAAATGGAGATTTAGGGAAGAAAATTACGGCGTGGAATGCGTTGGTTGATATGTATGTGAGGTGTGGTAATTTGAACGAAGCACAGGTGGTTTTTGATCGGATGAGTGAGAGGGATGTAATTACATGGACGTCAATGATTAATGGGTACATTTTGAATGGGGAAGTGAGGAATGCATTGGGGCTTTTTCGTATGATGCAGTTCGAATGGGTGAGGCCTAATTCAGTGACAATAGCATCACTTCTTTCAGCTTGCTCCAGTTTTCTTTATCTGAAGAATGGAAGGTGTTTGCATGGGTGGACAATAAGACAAAAGCTTGAGTGTGAGGTAGTTGTGGAAACTGCATTGATTGATATGTATGCAAAATGTAATCGTGTTGAACTCAGCTTCCGAGTGTTTGCAAGAACATCAAAAAAGAAAACAGTACCATGGAATGCAATTTTGTCGGGGTGCGTTCACAATGGGCTCACAAGAGAAGCTGTGGAACTTTTCAAACAAATGCAGATGGCAGCGGTACAACCTAATGATGCAACCTTAAACAGTCTTCTTCGGGCATATGCCATTCTTGCAGATTTGCAGCAAGCAATGAATATACATGGTTATCTAATAAGATCTGGATTTCTTTCAAACGTAGAAATTGCTACAGGGCTGATTGATATATATTCCAAGTGTGGGAGTCTAGAATCTGCCCACAAGATTTTCAGTGGGATTTCCACAAAGGACAAAGATATTATACTATGGAGTGTAATAATTGCTGGTTATGGAATGCATGGAAATGGTGAGGCTGCTGTTTCACTGTTCAAAGAAATGGTTCAATCTGGGATGAAACCAAATGATGTTACCTTTACTTCAGCTTTGCATGCATGCAGCCACTCTGGTCTGGTCGATGAGGGCTTGGATTTGTTTAAATTCATGCTTGAAAACCACCACCCAAGCCCTTGTGCTGATCACTACACTTGCATTGTTGATCTTCTTGGTAGAGCAGGTCGACTGGATGAAGCTTATGATCTGATTAGAACAATGCCTCTTAAGCCTACTCATGCTGTTTGGGGTGCACTGCTTGGTGCTTGTGTAATACATGAGAATGTTGAATTGGGAGAGGTGGCTGCAGAGTGGCTATTTGAGCTTGAGCCAGAGAACACAGGGAACTATGTATTATTGTCAAAGATTTATGCTGCAGTGGGAAGGTGGAAAGATGTTGAGAATGTGAGAGATAGGATGAACGAGATAGGATTAAGAAAAACACCAGCTCATAGTTTAATCGAGGTTAGGAATATGTAAGGTACATGATTGTTTATGCTTCAGATGTGTTAAGCATCAGGGTGAACTCATGTATCCATGAAGTGGAAAAGTTCAATCATAAGTGATATTAATACCAAATTGAAGAGTATGAGAACAGTGAACGCTACTGCAATGTTTGGAAGACTCATTGGTGGAGCTGAAGGAAACTCCTTTTAAAATAGTCTTTCTTTTTTTTCTGAAGAGACTATTGAACATCAATAACTATGTATTTAGGATGGAAATGCCTCTATATCATTGAAACTAAGATTGTGTTACTGCTGTTGTCTCAACTACATCGGTATTGCTGATGGACAAGGCGACTGGTTTGTCATAGCACTTTTGCAGCACAAGGAACCATTTCCTTCCATCCCTCGTGGAAATGTATGGATGATGGGAGTGTTTCAGGTGAAAGAATGGTCATTTTTACTTAGAATAGGTAATCTCAGTGGCTAGTACTAGGCATATAAGTTTGTTATTCAATATGATCTTCCTGTCAGATTGAATTGCACAGAGGGGTCCAATAGGTGCATCAGTATACTTATAAATACACACATAAGTAGACGATTTCTTTCCAAAAAATTCTGTATATGGGTCCATCACCGATTATGTGGTTCATCAGGTGATTTATGACAATGCTGTGGCTCCTAGGTCTCGACGACTCCATTTGTGGTCATGTGATTCAAGACAATAAACAGTTTTGCTGTCTGCCTTGATGGTCATGTTAGAATCATTGGCTTATGAGAAAGTTGATTTGGAATATGCTAAGTGTTACATTTTCCTTTTTGCAAAGTATGTCTTAGATACTATTTTGCACGTGATATCTTCAAATTGACTTTATTATTTTCTAATCTTTTCCCTGTATATACCCACAAACTTCTTAATTGTCTCTAAATATTAATGTATTTGTTTAAAATGACTGATCAACTTTGGCTTTCATCAGATTGAATAGAAGTTAGGTGGATTACTATTTGACTTTTATTTTTCTAATTTTTTAGTATGCACGCTCTCGATTAACGTCAACTTCGTGTTTTATAGAACTAGACAGGTTTGATTGTGTTGTTTCATTAATTTAAGAGTTGTAAAGCTACTAATTAAGTGCCTTACATCGAAAGCAATACACATAGGATTTTTCATTCCTGAATCCATAAATGGGTTAAATGTAGATCTTCTAATTAAATTCAAACAGTAAGATTTCCACAGACAATGACAGCTTAAAGAGAATGAAACTGCCAACAGGATTGGCTGCTGGACTTGGCCAAATTGTATTCATTGACTGTTGATTAGTTTATTGTGTTTGATTTTTATTTCTGACATTATTGTCCCAAGTGCAAGTCACCTAAAATGTCCATTTCTTTATAGTTGTATTTCCTTGTCAGTTTCTTTCTTTCTTTCTTTTTTTTGGTTTCAATTTTCAAGCTTAGCATCATTCCTGGTATGCTCTGAGTCTGAGGCAAATTATTCTGCAGGCAATTCAAGTGTTGGAAGGAAAACAAACAGATGAAAACAATGGACACGCCATGTAGTAAGTGGAAGTTTTATCTGCAGCTAGCATGTACTTTTGTGTTGTGATTTTACTTATAGTTGTTTGACCTCTTGGCTTTGGAATAATTCTTCAATGAATCAATAATGCTTTAAAATCCACTATTTCCAACTCAATGCTACAACTCATGTGCCCTTTTATTGGCCCACCTTGATGAAGCAATATAGTCTGAGACTGAGGACAAAATTGCAATATTTGGGTTTTCCCTACATCGGATGTACGTGAAACCCGCCAATGAGAATATACCATGTCGATGGGCATGCATTCGCTCGCCCCATAATTGGCTCGTTGCATATATCCAACCGATCAATGAGAATATGGTATGCCTTCCCTTCCCTCGCCTCATGAATCATGATTGACCTTTTACAAACTGTTTGTATGTGAAATATGAAAATACATTATATTTTTGGACGGGACAGACACACGTCTTATGATTGATTGATTGATTGGTTGCGCATACACTATCATTCGATAAATGCTTTGTTAAGATACAAAAGGGTCTAAAATTGTAGTTGTTGCTCCTTATGACCAAGTCTTAAAAGATTGCGTCAACAAAGAACAAGCTGAAACTCCTACACTCAAAATGCAATATTTTTAAGCGGCACATGCATCCTACAACTTCCATTAGGCTCCAAATACACCTAACTATGACAAGAGCAATTGAAAGCAACGTGGTATATTTTGACACACAATTTCTACCTAACCATTCCATTTCCATTTACATATATGTTCGAGAAGAGGGTTAGTATAGTAAATGGGTGAAATGGTAATTTTAGTATTATAAAAAAGTGTTGGGGTAAAATGATAAACTTTTATCTTATAAGAAAGTGTTTTGTGTGCTTAACTGCATCGTTATAGCTTTGGAGCAAAGGGGGTATTCGCCATAAAGTTTTTAAACTTTGAGGGGCCACTATAAGGCAAAGGGTGTGATTAATACACTTTTCAAAACAGAAGGGTTCAAAGTTAGTCAACTGTTATTGGAATAATAATTCAGTATCCCACTGGATGTGTAAAATATTTTAGAAGTCCCTTAAGATTTCCTAAATCCTGTAGGTTTCAAAAGAAGAAAAAGAAAGTGTTAAACCTCGCAACCTCGAAGTTGTGTTTACAACGGTTGAGAGAAGACTACCAGAGTGAGTTGATGAATGGAGGATCTCTCAAAAAAACCAAGAGCCTCTTTACTAAACTCCTGGAACAATTCACACCCACAAAATGTCTCAAAAAAACCAAACAATTTCATGCCCTCACGGTCACTTCAGGCCTTCAGTCCACCAACTTCCAATTCCCCCTCGTCACTGCCAAAGCGCAGTGCGGTCGCACTTCTTACGCACGCAAACTGTTCGAAGAAATGCCCAAGCGAAACTTGTTCTTTTATAACACCTTGATAAAGATGTATTCACGTAATGGTTCGTCGTATGATGCTCTTAACCTCTTTGTTGAAATGCTCAGGTTTGAAGTGTGCCGCCCTGATAATTATACGTACCCTTTTGTTATTAAAGCGTGTAGTGACGTGGGTTTGCGCAAATTGGGCGTTGCATTTCATGGGAGAACGTTGGTTGATGGGATTGATATGGATGGTATTGTGCAGAATTGTTTGATTGCAATGTATATGAGTTTTGGAGAGGTAGAGGTGGCGAGGAAGGTGTTTGATGCAATGAGGGACCGCAACGTGGTGACGTGGAATACTATGATAAGTGGGTACTTTAGGAATGGGTATGCTAGGCAAGCTTTGACGGTTTTTGATTGGATGGTGAAGAGTGGACAGGAGCCTGATTGTGCTAGTGTGGTTTCAGTGTTGCCTGTGTGTGGTTATTTGAAGGAAGTTGATGTGGGGAGAAGGGTTCATGCCTTGATGGAAAATGGAGATTTAGGGAAGAAAATTACGGCGTGGAATGCGTTGGTTGATATGTATGTGAGGTGTGGTAATTTGAACGAAGCACAGGTGGTTTTTGATCGGATGAGTGAGAGGGATGTAATTACATGGACGTCAATGATTAATGGGTACATTTTGAATGGGGAAGTGAGGAATGCATTGGGGCTTTTTCGTATGATGCAGTTCGAATGGGTGAGGCCTAATTCAGTGACAATAGCATCACTTCTTTCAGCTTGCTCCAGTTTTCATTATCTGAAGAATGGAAGGTGTTTGCATGGGTGGACAATAAGACAAAAGCTTGAGTGTGAGGTAGTTGTGGAAACTGCATTGATTGATATGTATGCAAAATGTAATCGTGTTGAACTCAGCTTCCGAGTGTTTGCAAGAACATCAAAAAAGAAAACAGTACCATGGAATGCAATTTTGTCGGGGTGCGTTCACAATGGGCTCACAAGAGAAGCTGTGGAACTTTTCAAACAAATGCAGATGGCAGCGGTACAACCTAATGATGCAACCTTAAACAGTCTTCTTCGGGCATATGCCATTCTTGCAGATTTGCAGCAAGCAATGAATATACATGGTTATCTAATAATATCTGGGTTTCTTTCAAACGTAGAAATTGCTACAGGGCTGATTGATATATATTCGAAGTGTGGGAGTCTAGAATCTGCCCACAAGATTTTCAGTGGGATTTCCACAAAGGACAAAGATATTATACTATGGAGTGTAATAATTGCTGGTTATGGAATGCATGGAAATGGTGAGGCTGCTGTTTCACTGTTCAAAGAAATGGTTCAATCTGGGATGAAACCAAATGATGTTACCTTTACTTCAGCTTTGCATGCATGCAGCCACTCTGGTCTGGTCGATGAGGGCTTGGATTTGTTTAAATTCATGCTTGAAAACCACCACCCAAGCCCTTGTGCTGATCACTACACTTGCATTGTTGATCTTCTTGGTAGAGCAGGTCGACTGGATGAAGCTTATGATCTGATTAGAACAATGCCTCTTAAGCCTACTCATGCTGTTTGGGGTGCACTGCTTGGTGCTTGTGTAATACATGAGAATGTTGAATTGGGAGAGGTGGCTGCAGAGTGGCTATTTGAGCTTGAGCCAGAGAACACAGGGAACTATGTATTATTGTCAAAGATTTATGCAGCAGTGGGAAGGTGGAAAGATGTAGAGAATGTGAGAGATAGGATGAACGAGATAGGATTAAGAAAAACACCAGCTCATAGTTTAATCGAGGTTAGGAATATGTAAGGTACATGATTGTTTATGCTTCTGATGTGTTAAGCATCAGGGTGAACTCATGCATCCATGAAGTGGAAAAGTTTAATCATAAGTGATATTAATACCAAATTGAAGAGTATGAGAACAGTGAACGCTACTGCAATGTTTGGAAGACTCATTGGTGGAGCTGAAGGAAACTCCTTTTAAAATAGTCTTTCTTTTTTTTCTGAAGAGACTATTGAACATCAATAACTATGTATTTAGGATGGAAATGCCTCTATATCATTGAAACTAAGATTGTGTTACTGCTGTTGTCTCAACTACATCGGTATTGCTGATGGACAAGGCGACTGGTTTGTCATAGCACTTTTGCAGCACAAGGAACCATTTCCTTCCATCCCTCGTGGAAATGTATGGATGATGGGAGTGTTTCAGGTGAAAGAATGGTCATTTTTACTTAGAATAGGTAATCTCAGTGGCTAGTACTAGGCATATAAGTTTGTTATTCAATATGATCTTCCTGTCAGATTGAATTGCACAGAGGGGTCCAATAGGTGCATCAGTATACTTATAAATACACACATAAGTAGACGATTTCTTTCCAAAAAATTCTGTATATGGGTCCATCACCGATTATGTGGTTCATCAGGTGATTTATGACAATGCTGTGGCTCCTAGGTCTCGACGACTCCATTTGTGGTCATGTGATTCAAGACAATAAACAGTTTTGCTGTCTGCCTTGATGGTCATGTTAGAATCATTGGCTTATGAGAAAGTTGATTTGGAATATGCTAAGTGTTACATTTTCCTTTTTGCAAAGTATGTCTTAGATACTATTTTGCACGTGATATCTTCAAATTGACTTTATTATTTTCTAATCTTTTCCCTGTATATACCCACAAACTTCTTAATTGTCTCTAAATATTAATGTATTTGTTTAAAATGACTGATCAACTTTGGCTTTCATCAGATTGAATAGAAGTTAGGTGGATTACTATTTGACTTTTATTTTTCTAATTTTTTAGTATGCACGCTCTCGATTAACGTCAACTTCGTGTTTTATAGAACTAGACAGGTTTGATTGTGTTGTTTCATTAATTTAAGAGTTGTAAAGCTACTAATTAAGTGCCTTACATCGAAAGCAATACACATAGGATTTTTCATTCCTGAATCCATAAATGGGTTAAATGTAGATCTTCTAATTAAATTCAAACAGTAAGATTTCCACAGACAATGACAGCTTAAAGAGAATGAAACTGCCAACAGGATTGGCTGCTGGACTTGGCCAAATTGTATTCATTGACTGTTGATTAGTTTATTGTGTTTGATTTTTATTTCTGACATTATTGTCCCAAGTGCAAGTCACCTAAAATGTCCATTTCTTTATAGTTGTATTTCCTTGTCAGTTTCTTTCTTTCTTTCTTTTTTTTGGTTTCAATTTTCAAGCTTAGCATCATTCCTGGTATGCTCTGAGTCTGAGGCAAATTATTCTGCAGGCAATTCAAGTGTTGGAAGGAAAACAAACAGATGAAAACAATGGACACGCCATGTAGTAAGTGGAAGTTTTATCTGCAGCTAGCATGTACTTTTGTGTTGTGATTTTACTTATAGTTGTTTGACCTCTTGGCTTTGGAATAATTCTTCAATGAATCAATAATGCTTTAAAATCCACTATTTCCAACTCAATGCTACAACTCATGTGCCCTTTTATTGGCCCACCTTGATGAAGCAATATAGTCTGAGACTGAGGACAAAATTGCAATATTTGGGTTTTCCCTACATCGGATGTACGTGAAACCCGCCAATGAGAATATACCATGTCGATGGGCATGCATTCGCTCGCCCCATAATTGGCTCGTTGCATATATCCAACCGATCAATGAGAATATGGTATGCCTTCCCTTCCCTCGCCTCATGAATCATGATTGACCTTTTACAAACTGTTTGTATGTGAAATATGAAAATACATTATATTTTTGGACGGGACATACACACGTCTTATGATTGATTGATTGATTGGTTGCGCATACACTATCATTCGATAGATGCTTTGTTAAGATACAAAAGGGTCTAAAATTGTAGTTGTTGCTCCTTATGACCTAGTCTTAAAAGATTGCGTCAACAAAGAACAAGCTGGAACTCCTACACTCAAAATGCAATATTTTTAAGCGGCACATGCATCCTACAACTTCCATTAGGCTCCAAATACACCTAACTATGACAAGAGCAATTGAAAGCAACGTGGTATATTTTGACACACAATTTCTACCTAACCATTCCATTTCCATTTACATATATGTTCGAGAAGAGGGTTATTGAGTTAATATGGAAAGCACTGTTTTAAAACCCATGCCGGAGGGTAACCTGTTTTGCTGTTCGGGTCACAAGTCAACCGGTCCAACTGATTGGATTGATGACATCAGCGACAATTTTATTTTTAAAAAATGATAAATTAATCCCTTAAATTTTAATATATTACAAAAATTCCCCTAAAAAAGTTTAAATTAGTCTCTAAAATTTTTATTTATTTCAAAAATGCCCCAAAAAATTACTAATTAATCCCTAAACTTTTGACATATTTCCAAAAAACCCTTGTAAAATTAATTAACCCTTATAATTTTGAAATATTACAAAAAACCCCTTAAGACATGAACCGAGCTGGAGAAGCTTTCGGGTCCCGGTCGAACCGGTTTGACAAGTCGATCCGATCCGGTTTTTAAAACAGAGATGGAAAGGAAGTACTCTTTTTTAGCTCAAAATCTTTAAAAATTCATATCAAAACCCACTGCCACGATTCTCCACTTAAATTGTGGATACCGATGGAGAATCTAACTTAAAATAGTACATTTATTCACACTATCCCAATTGTCCTAACCATATGAACCACTAACGGACCCTTTGGTTTGTAAATTTTTATTAAATAATTAAAAATTAGGGGGGAAAAAAGAAATAATTAATTAAACTTTTGGGGTCACCAAGAAATGTTCCCAATTGAAGCATCCACATGCTATTTGTAATGAGCCTTTTTTCTTGCTCCATGTTATCCTTCTTCATGTGGGAAGTTGAATTTAAGTAACTTTATCTTAATATAATTTAAATATTTCAATCTTTTTTTTTTTTTTTTTTTTTTAAATTTAACTTTTGATTATGATTTCCATGTGAGAGTGTATCTATCTATAATAACTCATGATTTAATACTGAAAGTGAATACAAAATAAATTTAATGCTACATAAAATAAATTAAATTAAATTAAATGCATCAAGCATTAAATATTATTTATCCCCAAAACACATAGAACTAACCTTATAATAGATAGAATTAAATTATAATTAAAGACTTTGAGTTGTCATTTTTGAAAAATACCCTTAGCTGGCATTCAGCCTTTGTTTATTCTTGTTTGTGCCAACTATTAGAATATTCAACACCAGCCAGGCACAGAAAAATTTTATTTAATTTCATCACTTTTCTTTTTCAACTTTGATTACAATAATAATAATAATATTATTATTATTAAATAAATCTGGTATAAAGATTTTATACCAAATTTTCTCTCTAAATACTTAATGATATTGATTTAATGGTAAGTTTAAATTCAATGTAATTTGTCACAACCATAATATAAGCTCATTAATACAAAATTGACCATCATTTGAAATTTGAAAGGGGTGTGCATAAAAATTGAAATGGTGACGGATATCGGCTTTTTTAGCAACCCCGATCCGGATATTCGGATTTTCTAAAATTATGATTCGTATCCGATTCGGATTATCAGATATCCAGTTTTTCGGATTGAATCGAAACGAATCCGATTCAGATATTGGATATCAGATTTTTTTTGCACAGCCCTATCCGTGGGTAGCCCAGATGGTTAGGATGAATTGGGATCATGTGGATAGGGATAGGTTCGATTCCCCATCTAAGTGACGATAGAGACTTGCGTGTATGATTCAAGAGGTTTGCTAATATGAGTGGTCATTGGAAGATTTACTTGACCGTTAACTTCAGGATCCTAAAAATTAGTTGAGGTGCACATAAATTGGTTCAGATACCCTCGATTATTCAAAAAAAAAAAAAAAATACAAAATTAAGAGAGGCTTGACCAGTAAATTGACCCTTTTATCAAAAAACTTGTATTATATTAATTTAACAATTAAAAAGAAGAAAAAATAAAACTAATGAAATTTATGTAGATTCTGACTAAAAAAAATCAACTTTATATTATACACCCCTGAACTTTGACTTAAATACCCTTTTTCATTCCCTCAAAATTACATAAAAAACCGACAAAATTAACAAGGGTTTAATTAACCGATCAAATATTATTAATTTATTTAAAGTAGAATTAAAGTAAAGATTAATTAATATGGGAAGTTAGCTAAGATAGGTAGGTTATGATATGAACATTCTTAGAAATAGTAATATTTTCAAATCTTTTTTTAAACTTTAAATTAATAACCTCTAATCTAACAACTAATTAATTAATTAATCAAGCTTAAAATAAAAACAAATCATCTAAATTTAGCTCCAAGATCTCCTTCCTGATCTCAAGGTCAAACATCAACACCTCTCTCTCTCTTTACCCAACACGTTTTCCTGTTTTGACTGATCAAATTTTTAATTTTACATGAATTTAATTATGAAATAATTTAAGAAAATGAAATTAGATCGGAGGATCCAGCAGTGAGAAACAGAGAGAGAGAGAGAGAGAGAGAGAGAGAGCTAATCGTAACACAAAGCAAAGCAAAAACAAAAACACAAGAACAACCAAAAAATCATTTTTTTATTTTTTATCTTTTTTTCATCTTCCCTCTTGGAGAGAAAAGGAAAAAGAAAAAAAGAAAAAAAAAAAAAAAAGAAAGGAAGGGAAAAGAAAAGGAAAGAGGAAATCAAGAAGACCCAGAAAACCAAACGGGAGAGTCCTTCATTAATTGATTGAAAAGATTCAATCTTTTATTACCATTTTAATATTGTTATTGTGGCGAGAGGGGCGGAGAGGGAAGGGTGAGAGGGGGTTCTTTTTAGAAACTCAATGCGGTCTTTGAGAAAAAGGCCAAATTTGAGGGAGACCCAGAAGGCGAAATTTGGGGAGGAATCAAGATCTGATGGTGGGTGTGAGTTTGAGTTATTGTTGTTGGTGTCTTTGTTATTTGGATTGGTTAAATTGTGTTAGAGAAGAGGTGAGTGGTGGTTTTTGTTGTGGTGTGGTAGTGAGGCTGCAAAGACAAGGATGCAGCTTCACTTCTCGCCTAGCATGAGAAGCATCACAATATTATCAAGTAGCAGCAACGGTATTAATAGCAATGGAGGAGGTTTTATTGACTTGATGAAGATCAAGGTCGCAGCTCGTCACATTTCTTATAGGACCCTTTTTCATACCATTCTTATTCTTGCTTTTTTGTTGCCCTTTGTCTTCATTCTCACCGCTCTTGTTACTCTTGAAGGTGTCAACAAGTGCTCCTCTTTTGGTATGTTTTTTGGATCTTGATTCTTTTTTTTGTGTTGAACTTTGCTTTTTGATTTGTGGGTTTGGGTCCATCTGTTGATTAGTTTGTTTTATAAGATTTGGGATTCGGGTTGTCGTTGTATTTGGGATATTTTGATGGTTGATTAGAATTAATGGATTGATTTTAGTGGTTGGATTATTTATGGAGTTTGGTTTTGTTATAAGATCTGAGTTTGGCATTGATTTGTTTAGTCAACTCTGAATCTGAGTTAATATAATACGTTGTTGATATGCGGAGGAAATGATTTTGAAACCAACTAATTGACCTTCTAATGTGAAGTCATATTGTCTGGTTTATTATTGTCAGTGCTAGAATCAGTAGAATTATGGGGTTATGGCCAATCTAGGTGCTTGCATTGTCAATGTTAGAATTATTTGCATTGGTTTCAAATAGGTTGCGTCGACCCATTGATTGTTTAGATGATCAGTGACACTAGAGATTGATTGGAGACCTACCACAAGCACTATTCGTAATTTGTTCTTCTGGTTTTATCTTTTCAAGCATCTGTCGAACATCCCTTCCCCGGTTGATGGGTTTAAATTTTACTTGCATTATATGTCTTTTTCAATGTTTCAAATTGAATCAGCTTTAACTGTGATTCCCAGGTATTACAAATCGTGAAATTGTTATCTGTATGCAGTTACTGTATGCTTGCTTTTATTAACTTAAATTGCGATCAGGTTTTATATTGATTATGCTTTTAGTTATTTGTTCTGGATTTGTTTGTGATTCTTAATCTGTCCTGTTCTTCTCTGCTTCAGATTGTTTAGGCAGACGGTTAGGACCGAGGCTTCTCGGTAGGGTTGATGATTCAGGGGTAAATATCTTTTTTTTTTTTTCAAATTACATTAAACGCATTCTTTTAGTCCTTCTTTTTGGTTTGGTTGTCAAATTGTTATGTTGTTTAATTAATTTGGTTACACTTTGTGCTGGTGATGATGTAACAGAGACTGGTTAATGACTTCTACAAGATCCTTAATCAAGTTAACGCTGAGGAAATCCCAAATGATTTAAAGCTTCCAGATTCTTTTAGTCAACTTGTTTCTGAAATGAAGACCGATCAGTATGATGCAAGGACTTTTGCTATTATGTTGAGAGCAATGGTATGTTGAAGATTTAGTTTTGCTTTTGTCTATTGTCTAATTTTTTTCATTTACTTATTTTTTATTTTGATAAGAGTGGGGTGAAGAAAACTAAGGCTTCCAGAAATAATCTAGCCTACACTTTTTGCATCTCCTTTCATTCAAAACTTTGTAACAAGATTGATGTTCTAATCCTTTGTCTTAGGCAGCTTAGAATGAGAAGTAAATTATTGTTTTCTGCCCTTGATATTCTTAAACTTCAGAGAAAATTCCAGGAACATCTAATATTTAGTTGATATTCTAATTGTATGTTTACTTTTTGCAAAAAAGGAGGAAAAAAAAAGAGAGGGTATTTTGAAGAAGCAGGATGAAGCTACTACTTGCCCCCACCTTTAGGTGCTGGGTTGTAATAATCACAGTGTAAATTTTGTGGAAATTTAATTGGTTAACAAAATTAAGTTCCAACTTTTCAATTTTAAACAAAGCTCCCTGCATTTTCGTTAAGTCAAATTAACATTGCAAGCAATTGGGTTGCAGAATATTAATGCACTGGTAAATATGACTCTGTAGATGTCTAGTAGTTAATACAGTTACCTTAGTTTCTCTCTGTGTAACTCTGATGCCTACTCTTGTCAATCCTCCTTCAGTATACTATCAGATATGTATAAAATTTGTGGTTCAAATAAAGATATGATGCAGATAATGTGTGTTTTGTTTGAATTTTTTTGAGGATATATGTTGAATGTTCTTTGCTCAGATCTTATGATCACAACATTGTTATCTTGCTTATCTTGCTTGGGTAAGGATATGTGTCTTGATTATTAAGGTACCTAGGGGCCGGTTGATTTTAATTGCTGATATACTTTTTTGACTTGAATTGCAACTACATTTCAGTTAGATTGCACTTTTCAGTGTCCAGAGTATGTGATATTGGGATTTAAGGTGGATGAGGAACTTAAGGCTTCTAGAACTCGTTTGCTCAACTGTTTGAGAAGTTATGAGTTAAGCAATTTAATTGTTCCTGGACAGTATGACAGCTGTTTTTGCCTGTCATTTGGCAATTTATTGGGATCTCTCATTGTCGCCCAGTTTTTTCTTTATATTTGGCTTACTGCCTGTCTAATTGGCTGTTTCGTTGGTCAACTGAGACTTCCACTGCGTGTTCCCCTCTCCACCTAACCTCAGAACAAAAAATTGTCCCAAGTTTCTTGGACCATGATAGTGTGTTCTTTTAACAAATGAGGAAAATATGAATGTTGTGTCACTAATTAGAAATAGGAATAATAAATTACCTCCTCTATAATGTTTTCACCTTGAGTTTCTTCACCTACAAGTGTGTTGTGAGGATGTCTTTAAACTATTAACCTTTTTTGTATGTCCTCATTTGTTTTAGCCCTGCTTGTTTAGGTTTTTTCCTTTGCCATTATTTTATTAGGAGAAAAGAGACTGATAAATAAATAATTAAGGTTGTAGTCAAATAATGTTTGAATGCTCATCTATATTATGAATATGGATTTTAATTAGAAAAAATCTTCTATATAACAAATTTATTGCACTGGTTTAGACTGATAACCATCGTTTATTCACAGATGGAGAAATTTGAAAGAGAAATTAGGGAATCTAAGTTTGCAGAACTGATGAACAAGCACTTTGCTGCAAGTTCTGTTCCTAAAGGCATCCACTGTCTTTCTCTGCGTTTGACTGATGAATATTCCTCTAATGCTCATGCACGCATACAATTGCCTTCTCCAGAGCTCCTCCCTTTGCTTTCTGACAACTCTTACCACCACTTCGTCCTGCCAACTGATAACATTTTGGCTGCTTCAGTTGTTGTTGCTTCTGCAGTGCAGTCATCTCTAAAACCCGAAACGATAGTGTTCCATATCATCACAGACAAGAAAACTTATGCGGGTATGCACTCGTGGTTTGCACTAAACCCTGTCTCCCCTGCTATTGTTGAAGTGAGAGGCGTTCACCAGTTTGATTGGTTAACAAGAGAGAATGTTCCAGTTCTTGAGGCTGTTGAGAACCATTATGGAATCAGGAACTACTACCATGGGAATCACATTGCTGGGGCCAATCTCAGTGATACCACTCCTCGACATTTTGCTTCAAAATTGCAGGCTAGAAGTCCAAAGTACATATCTTTACTCAACCATCTCCGCATATATTTACCAGAGGTAAGTAGATTGATATTAGCTATTTAGCTTCTCTTTTGTGGAGATGAAAATCTTTCATGTTTTGTATACTCCTAAATAACTTAAAAGTATACCAAAATTTGACATTACAGTGAGTAGGATAATTCAGGGAAATTATCCAAAAAGAAAATTACAATCTCTTATTGATTTTGAATTTGTTAAAACATCTAATATTTGCTTATTTAGGTGGGCCTTAGTGATTTAATCAAGTAACTGGAAAATAGATTGTTTGCTGTCCTCAGAACTTGTGCATTTCATTTATAGCCCTGAGAGTGCAATGGTTTAATTATGTTTGCCAATTGTTTGTATTTAACAGCTCTTTCCACACCTCGACAAAGTGGTCTTTCTAGATGATGATGTTGTAATCCAGCGTGATTTGTCACCTCTTTGGGAAATTGATCTTAAGGGCAAGGTTAATGGAGCTGTAGAAACTTGTAGAGGTGAAGATGAGTGGGTAATGTCCAAGCGTTTTAGAAACTACTTCAATTTTTCACATCCCCTTATAGCAAAGAATTTGGACCCTGAGGAATGTGCATGGGCTTATGGGATGAATATCTTTGATCTTCGTGCATGGAGGAAAACAAATATAAGAGAAACTTACCATTCCTGGCTGAAAGAGGTAAACTTTTGATTACTCTATTTCTTGCTATAATTATTTGCTTTTAACTTTATCTTCCTTCCTTGTTTGTGTTATAAGTCATAATGAGGATTGTGGAACGGCTGAATAAGTTATTTAAGGAAATAAAATTCAACATTCATATCTGCTAGAGTATCCATGCCAATTTTTTTTCTACTGCAACTAGATCGCATCATGGTCATTTCTTCATTTATATATGTTAGTATTGTCTATTTGTAGGCTGGTAAAGTGATTGCTGAAATTTGAATTTTCAGTAATAGAGTTCTGGACTAATATTAAGACTTACTTTAAATGAGCAAAGAGTTGTAAATGTGTTTTCTCATTTCTTTCTCTTCTTTTTGAGTGCACCATTGCTAGTATTATTACTTTGATAACATATGCTTTATCATCATTTTATTCTGATTGTGAGGTTTTCTGTACTAGAATCTGAACTCAAACCTAACAATGTGGAAGCTTGGAACCCTACCACCTGCTTTAATAGCATTTAAAGGTCATGTTCACCCAATTGACCCCTTGTGGCACATGCTTGGCTTGGGCTATCAGCATAAGACCAATATCGAGAGTGTGAAGAAGGCTGCAGTTATCCACTACAATGGCCAGTCAAAACCGTGGCTGCAGATTGGCTTCGAGCATCTCCGGCCATTTTGGAACAAGTATGTCAACTACTCCAATGATTTTGTGAGGAACTGCCACATCTTGGAGACGTAGTCAATCAACTAGTGGAGCTAGGAACTAGAGATAGAAGGGGAAAAAGATATTAGTGATATGGGTTTAACATACATTTTTTGTCTCGAACTTTCTCTGAAGGTTATATTTGAGAAAGCAAGTTGAAAAAATTGGCCGGAAGGGGCAATACTTTCAGGTTCAGATTTTGCTGTCATCCCCCATACTATTGCAGGACTGGACCTGCATCACTACAAGGACGTTGAGTTTCATTCTTTGATTTTGTATTATACAAATCCACGGTTAATTCTTTGCTTGGGAAAAGGATACTGTTATTGGTATTCCTACTGGGAATCTTGCTTTTGATTACTTGGTCCATAATTTGGAATAAAGTGAAATACACAAGAGACTGCTTATTTTGATGTCTTCATACTGGTCGATGATGGGAAGAGGAATGCTAGGAAAGTTTTTCGGTGATGCTCCCCTCATAAGTCCATAAACGTTTTTCTCCCTTCAGTATTATTATTATTATTTTCTTTTTGGTTATTGTTGTTTCATTTTTTGTTAGTATCTCCCCATTTTTCCTTTCCCTTGATTTTTGGTATCACGGTGAATTCTAGGAGTAGGTCATGGAAGATTGCTTTGTTACAGGTCCCATTCAATTGGGGAACTACTGTTAGGTTACATTACATATTGGTATTTGTTATGTACTTTTCCTGATAAACATTTAAAATGTGCAGATAATTCATTTTCTTCAAAACATTTATTTTTTATTTTTAACTTCTTATCCATCTTCCTTCCCTCACCATAACTACTCTTTTACCATTTGCAATTCTATAACTTTGTTCTTCTCCAAGAGATGATGTTATGATTTTACAGTTTTTATACAGTTATCCATGTATATGTGATAAAAGAGTTATATAATTTCATTTATTTCAGGTATGTTTGGGAATAGCTTTTGCATAAATATGATCCAATCAAAGAAGAGAATCTTTAGGAAAATTTATTAACAAAAGGGTATAAACTATAAAGAAGGATTCTTCTTGTTCTTGGAATTTGCTAAGTTGATGTTAACAAGAAACCCATTTAGAATTTAACACCTTTATTAATTTTGGCATCCATAGATTAGACTCGGAAATTCTGATATTTCAAGGCAGAGAGGTTTCATTCCTGACATATTCCTAATTTTCTAAATCCAAAAACCTTCCCACATTTGATTGGACCTCCTTGGCATTTTGCTTCTTTATAATACCAAAAAATTTGATTCCCCTCTTGTCAATAAACTAATTGAATGATTAAGACATAGTTAGTGGCATCTACTTGTAATTATATAAGCCACAATTGATTCTTTCAAAACTCAAAATGGAAGAAATATGTACATTGTATTGTACTCCCAAATTTTACATTGCATGAGCCAAAGAAATTGTACTTGAATTTTGTCATTTTTGGGGTTGTTAACATTCATGATAGGGTCCCATAAATCCTTGGTCAGAAGTTCACATGATGAACCAACCATGAAGATGTAGAATTGTAGACTTCATCCAATTTTGAACTTGACCATTTCCCATAAATTGATAGTTTAATACCATGGATAATACCACAATATGTCACTCATGTAAAATCAGTCACACTTTTACCCTAATTATATACCTCTCTTCAAAATTGATTAATTTCATCGAAAAGTATTATATATCTCATAAAAAAAGGTTTTTAAGATATTTTTAGGGGATTTTTCGACTAGGTCATTACTAATTACATAGGTTATTACCTATGGTTTCCATTATGATAGTATAATTCGAAAACATAATTAATAACATAATCGAATCAGTAAATATTAATTTAACGATGATTTATGAGTCGATAATGCTTATCGAACATTGTGATTATAATAATGTGACTTATAACTATAATATGGAGTTGGTATCGTTGTCGAGGGAGTCACACATCAAAGAGTGGTGAATAGTGGGGTATGATGAAAGAGATGAAGGGTGATGATTTGAGATGGACAAAAGTGAAGTGTGAGTGAGATACAAAATAAGAGTTTGTTTGTGAATTGGATTGGAAGTTAGGGAGAGGGTCATAGTCCTAAAGAAATAAAGAGAGAGAGGAAAATTTGTCCACTTCCATAGCCTTAGGAGATTGGAAGGAGAAGGCAAGAAATGGCAGCATTGACCTTAGATTTAGCGGACTTTGAAAACTCTCAAACTGCCCCCTCTCATGCAACTTGTTTTATCTCTTCCTTCTCTTTTTCTTGTTATTAATTATTGAAAAGCCATCACCTTTCTTTTCTTCTTTCTTCTTTTTCTTTTTTCCTCTCGTCTGCTTCCTCGGTTTGATAAAAACAGAGTGACCCAGATCAGTTTTGGAGGCAAGTAAGATTACCCATCAAGGTTTTTGGATTCTTTTCAGTGTCTGTTTTGGGTTTTTGATTGTTTTAGAGGTGACCCACTTCAGGATTTTGGTTGATTATTTGTTATGATTGGGATTGTTTTGCTGTTTAAAGCTTTTACTTTTGTGTGGTTTTGGTACTGTTATTTTTCTGGTGGGATTTATGTGGATTTTATTCAATCCATGGATTATCCCAATTGGGGATATTGATGTTAATTTTGATTGCCTAGAAATCAGAATTCGTGTCCTTATCATTCCTGATGGTTCCTTTCTTGTGTTAGTTTCCATTTCTAAGATTGTTGAATTCTATTGTGATTTATATTCATACTAAAAGTACTTTTTCTTCTTCTGCTGCTTGTTTTTGGATTGTGCAGTTTACTAAAGTGGGAATTTTGATCAATCTGCAACTGTGTCAGGACCTGATTCGAGTACTTCTGTGATTATTGATTACTCATAGTGAACCTTATTGAGATTTGATATATACTTTAGGAGAAAGCTCCAGTAAGGATCCTGGAGTTTTGAGTTTTAAGTCTGAGAGATTCTTGGAGTCAATCAGAAGAGGTTTTAGATGGCAGGTGTACAAGATCAGTTAGAGATCAAGTTTCGGTTGACTGATGGATCGGATATAGGTCCCAAGAGCTTTCCTACTGCTACAAGTGTTGCAACCTTGAAGGAAAGCATTCTTGCTCAATGGCCTAAAGGTTAGTTGGGTGTTTTTTTTAGGCAATGTTTAAAATTTGTAGCTACTTTCCCATCAAGTTTCTTTTTGGGTAACTGTTTCATTCTAAAATATGGCCACGCATAAACACTTGTGGGATGAAGTCAGAGTATGTATTGTTGTTAGAATTAGGAAATCTGTTATTGTTTCCTGATGTATGATTAGAGAAACTCCTATGAAAATGATTCTCTGTGTTAGTGTTATTAATCACCTGTCAGATGAATTAACATATCCATCTTTTAGAGCAGAGCAGTTGTGGAGTGCTTTTGTGTTTTCAATTTAATGTCAAAATATTTAAACTGGCTGCTTGATGAAATTTGGATATGGGTGATCTTTTCAAGGCAATTAAAAGAACTCACTGTGAATTTTGTGGAAGGACAGTTGGAAACTTGTCCAGGCTATATGAAACATCCTTATGTAATTTTCGTTCTGATGTGATCTTGTCTCGTCTATATAGCCTCAAAAAATGCTTTGTGATACACGTAGTACCAGTTAAATGATGCTATTACAGTTATTTGTTTGCTTTCTTGCTTTTGTTGCATTGTAATTGATAAGTGAGTTGGTTCCAATCACAGGATAATTGACCTGCAATAATTGGGTTTTATGTGAAGTTTTTGAGAAAATTCTCATAGTGAAATTCTTAGCAAATATAATCATGTCGGCCCCAATCTAATAAGTGTCAAAAACTAATATATTTCCTTTATTTAGTTTTGCACCTAAATTATAAGAGTCAAAGTTTGTAATATATTTCTGATTATCGAAGACAATGCAATATATTTTCTTTAGTCATCTGTATTCTGTCTCTGCTCATGTGTGATGTGGTGCAATTCTCTCTTTATACTCGGTTGAGCTGATGCAAAAGTTAGGTCCATGAAAGTCTGGAAATCATCTTTCATTGCTGTTTATCCTTGGTCTTAGTCCATCAACAACTCAGTAACAGTTGTGGCAAAAATTTGTAAAACATAATAAGCCTTCTGTTAAACAAATTCTAGAAGTGTGAATCTTGTGATAAATATATGACCTTGAACAAGTAGTAAGTGTTAAAACTATTCAGATGTTGATTGCCATGTGGCTGCATTTGTCTTCTTCTTGTTTATTAAAAGATCTCTCCTCTGTGACTTCTGATTCTGTTTACGATTGTAAATATTTGTTAATTTACATTTAAGTATTTAGGCATTTATCTGTTTGGACAGGAAAGGACAATGGTCCACGGACAGTCAAAGACGTTAAGATAATAAGCGCGGGAAAGATATTGGAGAACAGTAGAACATTGGGGGAGTGCCAGAGTCCCCTATGTGATATCCCAGGTGGTGTTACAACCATGCATGTTGTTGTTCAACCTCCATCTCAGGAGAAAGGTACCAATTTTTTATTACATACTCTTCTTTCCAATAGGCTTTTCTAAGGTGAACTCTAGAAATAAATTACTTAACTTTTTTTTGAACAGTATGCAGATTTAATACTGAAAAGATAGCTGAAAAAATGTGTTTTAAGAATGATGTGATTCCTTTTTCTTCCAACTTTTCTTTCCTTCTGTGGAAAAATCAATGTAGCATCATAATGAAAAATGCAGTCACCAAACATTAATCATTGAAATGGTTGAAATCTTCAAACATTTTCTGTAAATTAACAAGCTTAAATTATTTGCCCAAGTACAGAACCAACCAAGCCAAGGCCAACTACCCTACCTGATTACCTAATTGCTTTGGCCTTTTCCCCAACTTAAAGCATATTCAGCAATTGTTCTCCCACTTGTTTCTTATTACACTGTTTCTTATTTTATGATGGAGCAGAAAAGAAAGCAGCTAGCCAACCGAAGCAGAGCAAATGCGTTTGTGTTATATTATAATTTTCGATTCCGGCAGTGCCAAGACATCATTCACAGGTGGGTTTGGTACTTGGCTGTTATTCTCATCACTTTTGTTAGTAAACTAGTCTTACTGTTGTGTTCTAAATTTATCCACAGATAAGCGGCATTGGAGCTGGTATAGATAATTGATTTGGTGAATTGCGCATAGATGAGAGGCAGTGGCACTAAGCACGTTTAGGATAGGTCATGTTTTTGGGAAGTTTACTCTCTCTTCATATGGCTGTTGCATTTTCATCCATTTGGTTTACCATGTCCATTGTTAAGTTGTTGATTAGACTCCACTATCAAGCAACAATACCCAGATACAGTATCTGAAATTTGTGTCTCCTATTGTGTTTATTACCATATTTAATGCTTTTAATCTGTTTTACATGTATAATTATCATCGGTGGTTCTGGAATCAGACTTGGTACTCCAATTCTTGTTGATGCTTTCATGCTTTACAAAGTGGAAATGCTCGAAGTTCTGAGTTGTTGCAGTACAGGTTATCGATTGTTGAATACTTTTTTACTACCTTCAAACATATCCTTCTTCAAAAATGTACTAATGGGCATCCAGATGCCTTGAGGAAGAAGCAATGTTTATCCAAAAAGAAATTTATTAAATTCCATGGCTGAAATGTTCAATGATTGACTTCATTGACATTTTATTTCATGATGATACAGATACTGGTGGTGTCACCATGTTACAACTTGCATATTATTATTTTTCAATTTCTGGGAAATTGAATGTCTCTTGATTCCATTTCATATGAATATTTAAACTCTTGCCCTGTTGAACCAATTGGATTTTGCCCAACTAAACAATTTGCCCCCCATGCCACCCTGGATTTTCCTTGAACATCAAAATACAACATTCTTTGGTTGTAAAGGTTGATTCTTGTACATTTTTTCTGCAAATCCAGGTAGTTATAGATTCTTCTATCTTCAAGTGTCACACCAAGTGCTTCCTTTTTTTTTTTTTTTTTGGCTCAGCTTTTTGACTAAGTTAAGAGTGTGATATGTAGCTTTAGCTTTAGCTTTCCATTTGAGGTTTCTTTGTGACTCTGTGTATCTTTCTTTTGGACCAGAAGGGATTATTATTGTTTGGCTCTTTGCCTCTCTTGAGTCAGCAGTGTTTGTTCACTCTGGCAAAGCAAGTAGGTGCTTTTGAAAAAAGCATTTCTCATGATCCACGTCCTTCGACATTTTGCTTCAAAATTGCAGGCTAAGTCCAAAGTACATATCTTTACTCAACCATCTCCGCATATATTACCAAGGTAAGTAGATTGAATTAGCTATTTAGCTTCTCTTTTGTGGAATGAAAATCTTTCATGTTTTGTATACTCCTAAATAATTTAAAAGTATACCAAAATTTGACATTACAGTGAGTAGGATAATTCAGGGAAATTATCCAAAAAGAAATTACAATCTCTTATTGATTTTGAATTTGTTAAACATCTAATATTTGCTATTTAGGTGGGCCTTAGTGATTTAATCAAGTACTGGAAAATAGATTTTTTGCTGTCCTCAGAACTTGTGTCATTTATAGCCCTGAGAGTGCAATGGTTTAATTATGTTTGCCAATTGTTTGTATTTAACAGCTCTTTCCACACCTCGACAAAGTGGTCTTTCTAGATGATGTGTTGTAATCCAGCTTGATTTGTCACCTCTTTGGGAAATTGATCTTAGGGAAGGTTAATGGCAGTGTAAACTTGTAGAGGTGAAGATGAGTGGGTAATGTCCAAGCGTTTTAGAACCTACTTCAATTTTTCACATCCCCTTATAGCAAAGAATTTGGACCCTGGGAATGTGCATGGGCTTATGGGATGATATCTTTGATCTTCGTGCATGGAGGAACAAATATAGGAAACTTACCATTCCTGGCTGAAAGGGTAAACTTTTGATTACTCTATTTCTTGCTATAATTATTTGCTTTTACTTTATCTTCCTCCTTGTTTGTGTTATAAGTCATAATGAGGATTGTGGAACGGCTGAATAAGTTATTTAAGGAAATAAAATTCAACATTCATCTGCTAGAGTATCCATGCCAATTTTTTTTCTACTGCAACTAGATCTCATCATGGTCATTTCTTCATTTATATATGTTAGATTGTCTATTTGTAGGCTGGTAAAGTGATTGCTGAAATTTGAATTTTCAGTAATAGAGTTCTGGACTAATATTAAGACTTACTTTAATAGGCAAAGAGTTGTAAATGTGTTTTCTCTTTCTTTCTCTTCTTTTTGAGTGCACCATTGCTAGTTATTACTTTGACATATTCTTTATCATCTTTATTCTGATTGTGAGGTTTTCTGTACTAGAATCTGAACTCAAACCTAACATGTGGAAGCTTGGAACCCTACCCCCTGCTTTAATAGCATTTAAAGGTCATGTTCACCCAATTGACCCCTTGTGGCACATGCTTGGCTTGGGCTATCAGCATAAGACCAATATCGAGAGTGTGAAGAAGGCTGCAGTTATCCACTACAAGGGCCAGTCAAAACCGTGGCTGCAGATTGGCTTCGAGCATCTCCGGCCATTTTGGAACAAGTATGTCAACTACTCCATGATTTTGTGAGGAACTGCCACATCTTAGACGTAGTCAATCAACTAGTGAGCTAGGAACTAGAGATAGAAGGGAAAAGAATTAGTGATATGGTTTTAACATACATTTTTTGTCTCAACTTTCTCTGAAGGTTATATTTGAGAAAGCAAGTTGAAAAAATTGGCCGAGGGCAATACTTTCAGGTTCAGATTTTGCTGTCATCCCCCATACTATTGCAGGACGGGACCTGCATCACTACAAGGACGTTGAGTTTCATTCTTTGATTTTGTATTATACAAACCACGGTTAATTCTTGCTTGGAAAAGGATACTGTTATTGGTATTCCTACTGGGAATCTTGCTTTGATTACTTGGTCCATAATTTGGAATAAAGTGAAATACACAAGAGACTGCTTATTTTGAGGTCTTCATATGGTCGATGATGGGAAGAGGAATGCTAGGAAAGGTTTTCGGTGATGCTCCCCTCATAAGTCCATAACGTTTTCTCCCTTCAGTATTATTATTATTATTTCTTTTTGGTTATTGGTTTCATTTTTTGTTAGTATCTCCCCATTTTTCCTTTCCCTTGATTTTTGGTATCCGGTGAATTCTAGGAGTAGGTCATGGAAGATTGCTTGTTTACGGTCCCATTCAATTGGGGAACTACTGTTAGGTTACATTACATATTGGTATTTGTTATGTACTTTTCCTGATAAACATTAAATGTGCAGATAATTCATTTCTTCAAAACATTTATTTTTTATTTTTACACTTCTATCCATCTTCCTTCCCTCACCATAACTACTCTTTACCATTTGCTTCTATAACTTTGTTCTTCTCCAAGATGATGTTTATGATTTTACAGTTTTATACAGTTATCTAGTAATGTGATAAAGAGTTATTATTTCATTTATTTCAGGTATGTTTGGGAATAGCTTTTGCATAAATATGATCCAATCAAAGAAGAATCTTAGGAAAATTTATTAACAAAAGGGTATAAACTATAAAGAGGATTCTTCTTGTTCTTGGAATTTGCTAATTTGATGTTAACAAGAAACCCTTTTAGAATTTAACCTTTATTAATTTTGGCATCCATAGATTAGACTGAAATTCTGATATTTCAAGGCAGAGAGGTTTCATTCCTGACATATTCCTAATTTTCTAAATCCAAAACCTTCCCACATTTGATTGGACCTCCTTGGCATTTTGCTTCTTTATAATACCAAAAATTGATTCCCCTTGTCAATAAACTAATTGAAGATTAGACATAGTTAGTGGCATCTACTTGTATTATAAAGCCACAATTGATCTTTTCAAACTCAAAATGAAGAAATATGTACATTGTATTGTACTCCCAAATTTTACATGCATGAGCCAAGAAATTGTACTTGAATTTTGTCATTTTTGGGGTTGTAACATTCATGATAGGGTCCCATAAATCCTTGGTCAGAGTTCACATGAGAACCAACCATAGATGTAGAATGTGTAGACTTCATCCAATTTTGAACTTGACCATTTCCCATAAATTATAGTTTAATACCATGATAATCCACAATATGTCACCTCATGTAAATCAGTCACACTTTTACCCTATATATACCTCTCTTCAAAATTGATTAATTTCATCGAAAAGTATTATATATCTCATAAAAAAGGTTTTTAAGATATTTTTAGGGATTTTTCGACTATCATTACTATCATAGGTTATTACCTATGTTTCCATTATGATAGTATAATCGAAAACAATTAATAACATAATCGAATCATAATTTAATTAACGATGATTGATGAGTGATAATGTTTATCGAACATTGTGATTATAATAATGTGACTTATAACTATAATATGGATTTGGTATCGTTCGAGGGGTCACACATCAAGAGTTGTGAATAGTGGGGTATGATGAAAAGATAAGGGTGATGATTTGAGATGGACAAAGTGAATTGTGAGTGAGATACAAATAAGAGTTTGTTGTGAATTGGATTGGAATTAGGGAGAGGGTCATAGTCCTAAAGAAATAAAGAGAGAGAGGAAATTTGTCCACTTCCATAGCCTTAGGAGATTGGAAGGAGAGGCAAAAATGGCAGCATTGACCTAGATTAGCGGACTTTGAAAACTCTCAAACTGCCCCCTCTCAGCAACTTGTTTTATCTCTTCTTCTCTTTTTTCTTTTATTAATTATTGAAAAGCCATCACCTTTCTTTTCTTCTTTCTTCTTTTTCTTTTTTCCTCTCGTCTGCTTCCTCGGTTTGATAAAACAGAGTGACCCAGATCAGTTTTGGGGCAAGTAGATAACCCATCAAGGTTTTTGGATTCTTTCAGTGTCGTTTTGGGTTTTTGATTTTTTAGAGGTGACCCACTTCAGGATTTGGTTGATTATTGTTATGATTGGGATTGTTTTGCTGTTTAAAGCTTTTACTTTTGTGGTGTTTTGGTACTGTTTTTTTCTGGTGGGATTTATGTGGATTTATTCAATCCATGGATTATCCCATTGGGGATATTGATGTTAATTTTGATTGCCTAGAAATCAGAATTCGTGTCCTTATCATTCTGATGGTCCTTTCTTGTGTTAGTTTCCATTTCTAGATTGTTGAATTCTATTGTGATTTATATTCATACTAAAAGTACTTTTTCTCTTCTCTGCTGTGTTTTTGGATTGTGCAGTTTACTAAGTGGGAATTTTGATCAATCTGCAACTGTGTCAGGACCTGATTCGAGACTTCTGTGATTATTGATTACTCATAGTGAACCTTATTGAGATTTGATATATACTTTAGGAGAAAGCTCCAGTAAGGATCCTGGAGTTTTGAGTTTTAAGTCTGAGAGATTCTTGGGTCAATCAAAGAGTTTTAGATGGCAGGTGTACAATCAGTTAGAGATCAAGTTTCGGTTGACTGATGGATCGGATATAGGTCCCAAGAGCTTTCCTACTGCTACAATGTTGCAACCTTAAGGAAAGCATTCTTGCTCATGGCCTAAAGGTAGTTGGGTGTTTTTTTAGGCAATGTTTAAAATTTGTAGCTACTTTCCCATCAAGTTTTCTTTTGGGTAACTGTTTCATTCTAAAATATGCCACGCCAAAACACTTGTGGGTGAAGTCAGA